TAAATCACATTTTAATTTTGTAACAGGTGTAGGGTATTATATGATCGGCCTTGCCCGACAGCAAATTTTCGCCCTCTCAAATTAAAACCATCAACAGACTGCTAACAGGTCATACTTTCAACAAACCATACCTCAAAATGATTGGATCAATATCAACAGATCTATGTGAAATTTGCAATACAATTGACGATGATAACCATGCAATTTTTCATTGCACTATAATTTCTCACTTGTTTTTTTATGGAATTTTGTTAACATTGAACAGCTGCTACATATAAAAGTAACTACACTCAAACCTCGTTTTATGCGTATTTATTTTATGCGAATTTGAATTAGTGCGGTTTCAAAATTCTAAAATTTTTCTTAGCAAAAATAATTTTGAGAAAAATGTTGGTCCACATACATCGAAAAAAATTTCTCAACAAAGTACTACTACTGATTTTTTACCAATTCCGATTCGGATATATAAAGTATTGTTCAAATCCTTTGTACACGAAGAAATATTATTTTTTATTTTTAAGAAATTTTGTACATATACTTCATTATTTGGAATTTGTATTGTGTTATTATTTGTTACCTTTATTTTTCATCATTTTTTAATAGTTTCAGTAGAGAATAAATTTTTTTTTGATTTTTTTACGCGATTTTGTTTGACTTTTAAGGGAATAATTTGAAATAGTGCGCTTTTTTATTAAAAACCCAATTACTATATTTTGTATGGAGCTAGTGTATCGTTTTGTGCGAATTCGAATTATGCGTTTTTCTGCGAAACGAATTAACCGCATAAATCGAGGTTTGAGTGTATTGTGAATGTATTGTTCACTGCAAGTTACTCCTATATTTAAGATCGCATTGAATAAATGTGTGTGAAGTTAACTTCGAATTTAAATAGCAGAGACACAAACCACATTTTTTAACGTTGCTCTTTTGCAGCTAACAGAGCAATGTTAAGCATTTAACAGAAAGTACATGAAAAATTAAAAATAAATACTTTAAAATTTTCAGAAAATGAAAAACGAAAATTTCAGAACTTAAAAAAATATGAAAAATAAAAAAAATATTTTTGAAAAAAATCAATATTTTGATAAAAAAAATTAAAAATTCTCTAAAAAATTAATATTTCAATAAGAAAAATGTTAAAAATTCTCTAAAAGATTGGTGTCCAATTTGGACAAATATGGAAATGCACATGTATACCACTATATAGGAGTAGTAGTCTAAAGGGTCCCTAACAGGATTCCGGTAGTCATATGTCTGGAATAGTTTTGGAAGTTTTTTTAAAAAATTTTTGAAAAAATCAATATTTCAATAAGAAAAATGTTAAAAATTCTCTAAAGGATTGGTGTCCAATTTGGACAAATATGGAAATGCACACGTATACCACTATATAGGAGTAGTAGCCTAAAGGGTCCCTAACAGGATTCCGGTAGTCATATGTCTGGAATAGTTTTGGAAGTTTTTTAAAAAATTTTTAAAAAAATCAATATTTCAATAAGAAAAATGTTAAAAATTCTCTAAAGGATTGGTGTCCAATTTGGACAAATATGGAAATGCACACGTATACTACTATATGGGAGTAGTAGCCTAAAGGGTCCCTAACAGGATTCCGGTAGTCATATGTCTGGAATAGATTTGGAAGTTTTTAAAAACATTTTTAAAAAAATCAATATTTCAATAAGAAAAATGTTAAAAATTCTCTAAAGGATTGGTGTCCAATTTGGACAAATATGGAAATGCACACGTATACCACTATATAGGAGTAGTAGTCTAAAGGGTCCCTAACAAATTGGACACCAGTCCTTTAGAGAATTTTTAGCATTACTGCTTTAAAAATATTGATTTTTAAAAAATTTTTTAAAAAACTTCCAAAACTATTCCAGACATATGACTACCGGAATCCTGTTAGGGACCCTTTAGACTACTACTCCTATATAGTGGTATACGTGTGCATTTCCATATTTGTCCAAATTGGACACCAATCCTTTAAAGAATTTTTAACATTATTCTTATTGAAATATTGATTTTTTCAAAAATTTTTAAAAAAACTTCCAAAACTATTCCAGAAATATGACTCCCGGGATCCTGTTAGGGACCATTTAGACTACTACTCCCATATAGTTGTATACGTGTGCATTTCCATATTTGTCCAAATTGGACACCAATCCTTTAGAGAATTTTTAACATTTTTCTTATTTAAATATTGTTTTTTTCCAAAATTTTTTAAAAAACTTCCAAAACTATTCCAGAAATATGACTCCCGGAATCCTGTTAGGGACCCTTTAGACTACTACTCCCATATATTGGTATACGTGTGCATTTCCATATATGTCCAAATTGGACACCAATCCTTTAGAGAATTTTTAACATTTTTCTTATTGAAATATTGATTTTTGCAAAAATTTTTTAAAAAACTTCCAAAACTATTCCAGAAATACGACTTCCGGAATCCTGTTAGGGACCCTTTAGACTACTCCTCCCATATAGTGGTATACGTGTGCATTTCCATATTTGTCCAAATTGGACACCAATCCTTTAGATAATTTTTAACATTTTTCTTATTGAAGTATTGATTTTTTCAAACATTTTTTAAAAAATTTCCAAAACTATTCCAGAAATATGACTCCCGGAATCCTGTTAGAGACTATTTAGACTACTACTCCCATATAGTGGTATACGTCTGCGTTTCCATATTTGTCCAAATTGGAAACCAATCCTTTAGAGAATTTTTAACATTTTTCTTATTAAAATATTGATTTTTTCAAAAATTTAAAAAAAAACTTCCAAAACTATTCCAGAAATATGACTCTTGGAATCCTGTTAGGGACCCTTTAGACTACTACTCCCATATTTCCATATTTGTCCAAATTGGACACCAATCCTTTAGAGAATTTTTAACATTTTTCTTATTGAAATATTGATTTTTTTAGAGAATTTTAAATTTTTTTTTTTTAAAATATCAATTTTTTTCAAAATATATTAATTTTCGTTTTTTTTTCTGAAATTTTCGTTTTTCATTTTCTGAAAATTTTAAAGTATTTATTTTTAATTTTTCATGTACTTTCTGTTAAATGCTTAACATTGCTCTGTTAGCTGCATGTGTGTGAAGTTAAATTCGAATTTAACTAGCAGAAACACAAACCACATATTTTAACATTGCTCTTTTTGTAGCTAACAGCTTTTATAATGACATATATGATGTTTAAGCAACCTAGAAAAATATGTCGCACACCCAGTAAAAAAGTGACACAACTCAAAAATTTTTTTTTAAGAAAAGGAAAAAATTTGTTTACAAATTCGGAAAGATAAAGAAAGACATAACGTTTTTTCTTGAACAGTTAACAACAACAAAATACACAAATATTTTTGTAGAGTTAAACAAGTATCTTGTGCATAGTTTAAGGTTTAAACTTAAGGCTTAAAGAATATAAAAACGCAAAAATAAAATTTTGAGTTGTGTCACTTTTGTACTAGGTGTGCGATGTGTGCATTTCATCGGCGATCATGTTTTTGATTTTTTCTTTGCATCGTTTTTGAGATGTTTTTTCAAAATATTTTATATAGGAACCGTTCTATTTATTAATTCATTAAAAGCCTATGTTTATTTAAATTAAAATTGGTGGAAATATTTATGTTTATATAAAAGTTATTAATGCTGAATTACATCGTGATATTAATATTTATTAAGATAATTATGGAATTAAAGCCATTTTTTGAAGGAGGATTTTTGTGGGAGCTAGGGTCAAATAAGGTAATAAGGTCCGATCAATACAAAAATCGACATAAATGAGTTTGCTATAATCCTAAGTAATACGGCTGATTCTTTAAATAATACGGACTTATTTGACCCTCCTTTAGAAAATGACTTGAATTCCATAATTATCCTTTTAATATCAATATCACGATGAAATTAATCATAAATACCTTTCAAATAAACATAAATTTTCCCACAAAATTTTATGAGGATCGGTCCACATTTAGCCCTATCCCCCATATAAGCATCCTTCAGAAAATCAATTTTTGAACAATTTTGTATTAAGAAAAAGATTAATAATGTCGTAAATTTTTAACTGATTTTTAAAAACAAAGTTGCGTTTTTCTCATTAACAGGCATAGTTTTCTAATATATTAATAAATAGTACGGTTCCTATATAAAATACTTTGCAAAAACATCTCCAAACTTTAAAAACGGTGCAAAACTAAAATCAAAAACACGTTTGCCAATGAAATGCACACATATTTTTCTAGGTTACTTAAACATCATATATGTCATTATAAAGGCCTCAGCTTTCTAAATCCGTTCAGAAACTTAAAATCGGTTGAGATTCAACTAAGTTACTGCCTTTTAAGTGCTTAAAGATATGAAAACCCGGTTTTTTACCCGTATCTCAAGATTTTGGAGGTGTTTGGGAAATTTCTTTCTTGTTCTACTCGGATCCACCTTTCAGAAAAATACTATCACTTCCCAGGTATTTTGATTTTCGTTTATTTTGTCTCACTGTGTTATTGCTGTCGACGGTGTTATTGGTTTTATTTGTTTAAGCATTTTCTGAATAATATGAGAGGTAGGGTCAAGTATGGCTGATTCTCATAAAATTTGGTATAAAATTAATGTTTGTATAAGAGTTATTTATTGCAAATTTTATCGTTTTACTTGTGTTTATATGCGAATTTTATCATTTTCTAAAGTTAAGTAAACTTCTAAAAGGGAGTTTGTATGAAGACTAGGCTCAAATTTCTGTTATTTTAAATCACTATAATAACAATATACATATATACATATAAATTTCAATTTAAAAAGTTATTAATATATAATTAAATTTGCTACTACTAATATAGTACTTTTAATCATAAACTTTGAAAAACTATTTATCAATTTTTATTTGTTCTTCGAGTACGGCAACACTATTTACCCTTAAAGTTATATTAAATAACCTATCCATTTTTAACAGGATATAATAAAAATTGCGCATGCTTAAAAATATATATAATAATATTCGATTACCAGTTCCATTTATGTAAATGAACTAATTTAATTTTCAAATTGCGTTTTAAAACAAATATTTAAATGTATTTTTATAGAATTCTTGACTAAAATTACAAATTTCAAAGATTTCTAAATAGGACAATTGTGTTTTTGATTAAAGTATAAAGTAGTAAACGTTTTGTGCCATGGGGTGTTTAAGTAGCAAAGACCGTTTAACAAAAGAAGATATGGAATTTTTAAAATCTCATACTCGCTATGATGAAGCCACTATAAAGGAGTGGTATAAAGGATTTAAGGTAAATATTTTAAATTGTGTTATAATATAATAAAAAAAATATTTACGCAGCAAGACTGTCCCAATGGAAGATTAACACCAGCAAAATTTGTGGATATGTATAAAATGTTTTTTCCATCTGGAAATGCGGAAGAATTTTGTGACCACGTATTTCGTACATTCGATATGGATAAAAATGGATATATTGACTTTAAGGTAAGTGAAATGACATTTTTAATTTGTTTTCTTTTACGTTTTATAATTTGCGTCTTTAAATTGCTGAAATAAATAAATATTTGGTTAAATATTTATATTTTATATGTCGAATTCTTAAATATTCTCATATTGACAATAAATAAATACACCAAACCATTTTCTGCTTAACTTAAAATATTTATTGAAGAGGAATTAAAAAGTAAACATAGGATGATAAAGTAAATTGTCTTTAAATCTTAAAAAAAATTAAAATAAGTGGACAAAAGAAAAATAAATACCAAAAATATGAAAATATTCAAATATTGTACAAATTCATTAACCATTTAAATATTGGCATATTACTCTGTATTTATAAATTTATACACTTCTACCGGAAATTCTCCCATTAAAGATTTTATAGTTGCTTCCCCTGCATTTTTTTACGGTTTCTATCTGACATGTCCTGGGACACCATTCCTATGTTCTTTAATTATTTTTTTTTACAAAAGTCCAATACTTTTCCACATGCCGAAATTCTGGTCAATTATGTGGATACAAAATTGTCATTATTATTTGAATACCACTTAAGAGATTTTTTCCATAGTGGCATGATGCCAAATCGGTCCAAAAAGTATGAAGACCCTGTTTGTTGTTTAAATAAGATAAACCCCTTTTTGTAGACACTCCGTATTTGATATTTCTGTATTTATCGAGCTTCTTTTGCTACAACTACAAGTGGCCTGCCACATTAGAAACATCTTGTAGATTTTAGTTTTTCTTTTGGTATGGTATTATTCTTGAACATTACCTCGTCATCAACCGCATACAAATCTTGACCCGGGAGTTGCAAAAATTCTCCCAGTACATATGTAAGTTTCATCATCACACAACAAGTTTATTTTTTGTAAAATTTTACCTACATTTTTTCGCTTGCACTGTTTAATGTCTTTTGAAACAGTGCACATCGGGGCAGAGGTACTTAAAACATGACATTCACCTTACCCTATTTTAACACTGAAAAATGTTAAAAAGAGTATGAGGTATACTTCAAAGTAAAAATTCGAAAATTCGGAATTAATATACATATAACTGATTCATTACTTTTCATATTTTCCTAAAAAATTTAATACAATAGTTCCGTAAGAAAATAAAACTGTAAACAAATAATTTTTCCGCAAAGATTTTTTCAATGATTGTAATATGAGCAAAATCAAAAATGTTGAAGAATTGGACAAACAAATTTTCGATTTTTTTTTTTTTTAATTTTTTAATTAAACATGATAAATATGAAAACGTTAATTAATTTCAATGATGCGCGCAAAAATAAGGGTTAAGCTCTTTTCAAATAAAATTAGTACCCATTCGTAAACATTTATAAGGAATATCAGCGCATGTTAAAATAGTTATCGCAAATAGTTATTCCAAAAATTTTGCAAATAAAAAAATTCTCCTAAAATTAGAGATAATTTTTAATGCATTAATATCTCAGTTGTTTTGAAAGATGTAGCCATTTAAAGTAGCTTTCTACTTTATATTAAATCAAAGTACAATATTAATATTTTTTTTGCAAAAACATTTTTTTGCCGCATTTGAATTTATAATGAATGTTTTTTAATTGCTAAAATTTTAGCTATATATGTGAATTTATTTTTGAGGTTATGAAATCTTTATTTACGTGGTAAAATTGTATATCCTTAAAATATTTTAATGCGCACCGGATTTTGGCATAATCCAAAAAGAAAGCTTTTATTTGACACTAATATTTACGCAAATCATATGACGCTATAGTTGTCTGAAAGCAAAATGTTTTTTCAGATAAACGCTGCTAGAACCGCTATAGATGAAGAAATTTTATTTTTCTTTTGCAATATCTATTTAATCCATTCATCCAATAAAATGTACAAAATTTTTGCATCTCGTCTTTAGTTAAAAATACAAAGAAATTAAATTTTAAATTTGCACAAATTTTAAAATTATCATAAATAGTACGCATTTACAAATTTCTTAATGCGCATTTGACTCGGAGGTGTTAATTATAATAAGATTAAATTTACGCGGTATTACAACTGTATTCGTAAATAGCTTCATAACTATTAAAAAAACTAAAAAATGCAACATTTTGGTTACAAAAAGTATTAACGAAATTATTATAAGGATTTTTATATGTCCAATGTCTTGTGAGTTTATAAAGGATTGCTCTGTAAGTTATCAGCTGAGAGTACGAACAAATTTGTATGGAAAGAATGTGCAATATTTATATAAAATTTAGCACAACTCATAAACTTTTTCATGGATTAAATACCATTGATTAAATGTAATTTGATTAATGCGCACACATGGACTATTAAAAAAACTAAAAAAAACGCAACATTTTGGTTACAAAAAGTATTAACGTAGAGCATTATGAAAATTAAAAATTGTGAAAAAGTGTGAGTTTTTTTACTTAAATGGCCGTAACTCGGACATTTCATCATAAATTTTGGATTGAAAGGCAACACTTGTATCTTTAAAACAAAATATCCAATTATAAAATTTCAACAATAGCTCCTTTTCACATCTTTTGCTCTTAAAAAGCAACTAAACGAAGTGATCGGGAAAAATTAAAAATATATTTGTACTCTATGTACTATAACGAAATGGAATTGATATATGAGAACCCCCGCATTTTTTTGGTGTATCACTTTGTAATCAATAAAATTTAAATCTATTCATTACTATTATTTATTTTATAAAATTTTCAAAAATAATTATTTTTTTTTGAACATAATAGAAAGTTATTTCAAGTACATTTTTATACCCTACACCACTTTAGTGGGGAGGGTATATTGGATTTGTGCTGATGTTTGTAACGCACAATAATATTGGTCCTATACCCACCTTAAAGTATACCAATCGGCTTAGAATCATTTTCTGAGTCGATTTAGCTATGTCCGTCCGTCTGTCCGTCCGTCCGTCTGTCCGTACATGTAAACCTTGTAATCAAACTACAGGTCGCAATTTTGAAGATAATTCAATGAAATTTGGCACATGATCTTTTATTGGCCCAGGGACGAAGCCTATTGAAAATGGTTAATATTGGTCCATTATTTCACCTAGCCCCCATACAACTGAGCCCACGAATAGGGCTTGTAAACCTTGTAATCAAACTACAGGTCTCAATTTTGAAGATAATTCAATGAAATTTGGCACATGATCTTCTATTGTCCCAGAGACGAAGCCTATTGAAAATGGTTAACATCGGTCCATTTTCTCATCTAGCCCCCATACAACTGAACCCCCGAATAGGGCTTGTAAACCTTGTAATCAAACTACAGGTCGCAATTTTGAAGATAATTCAATGAAATTTGGCACATGATCTTCTATGGTACCGGAGACGAAGCTTATTGAAAATGGTTAACATCGGTCCATTATTTCACCTAGACCCCATACAACTGAAAACGACGAATAGGGATTTTAAGTTTATAATTATGTTTAATATACTCGTATCTCGACAAAAAGCTGCAAAACCAAGTTCTATACTAGCCTTGACCATAGCCCCTATACAAATCCCCCTTCAAAATTTGACTTAAATGTCCACAATTTTATTCAACAATAAATGGCTTAAGTATATGTATCTGACACAAGTCAACTTAAATGCTTTATTATGAAAACTAAATCACATTTCATTTTTGTAACAGGTGTAGGGTATTATATGGTCGGCCTCGCCCGACTATAATTTCTTACTTGTTTTACTTTGTTTTCTTTTCTTTAAAGTTTTATTTTTTTTCTAAACTTCTATGAAAAATATTTTGTTAAAAACTCAATAAAATGCATGCATTATAAGCAAAGAAAAAAATGCTATATTTTACATACTGTAGTTGCTTGATTGATCGATTGATAGAGGGGGCTCAAAGCACTATGACCTAAATTAAGATCTTTTTTGCAGCTCTTTGGTTCACCATTGGAGATTAAGTTTACGTATGAATCTTAAGGTGGAAGTACACAACATGCGTTGAGGCGGCAACGTGTTTTACGCTTTTCAAACTTTTCGCGCTTTACAAGCTGCAAGTTACACACCACGTTGTTTATTTTTTAATATTTTTCTTTCATTGTTGGTGAAATTTATTTCATTTTAGTTTATTCTTATTCTACACAAAACAAAATACAACCCTGATCAGCTCCCGACGCATCAAAAGTTAAAAGTTGCTGAACTTTTCGCGGCAGACGCGTTACAAACTACAGTGTGTAACTTGTTAAATGAAAATACAATATTTCAACTTTTTTTGACTAAAGCCTATAATGCGTTGCCGCCTACAACGGATGTTGTGTACTTCCACCTTTAATGTTTTAGATGGTGAAAGATGGAGTATTCCATTAGGCGCCTCCCTGAATACTCGCTCTAAGAGGCTATAGTGTCTGATAGTCACAAACATGTGACTATAAGCCTATTCGAAGGTTTCATCCTGCAGTTTACAGATAATGCTGCTAATAATGTGTTGGCGGTATTTAATCCACAATGTCCGGTATAAAGTCCCGTTAGTAATCTTAGGTCATTCTTGTTATGCGACAGTAACTTTTGGGTTGTTTTGAAGCTTTTTGCCTCTTCAACGTAAGAATCGCATTTTGCTCTTTCATTGCCAGAGTGACCTTCATTGCCGACTACCTAACTAAGTGTGAGTTTGTTAGGTCTACCCAGTTCATTTAGAGATATCAAACAGTCAAGTACGCCACCCGGCCATATTTTAGTTATTCATCCATCAAAATTATATAATTTATAAATTTTTTAAGTGCATTTTATATAGCTATGAAAAAACCTTATGCAAGAAATTTTTACAAGAATATTTTTTTTTTTAATTTAAGGCGAATACTTGGTTATTATAAAAACAAAAATACATTTTTTCAAAAGGCTGATTTTTATGATTTTTTTTAAATAAAACTATCCGTTGTCACAATTTAGCATCCAACAAAAATTTATTGACTTTAGAGTCGCCTCTTGATGACAAACAATGTCATATCATAAACATTTTTGCACACATATCTGC